CACTGGCTACACCTTTTCCTGTTTCAAACTATTTTTGGATGAAGCAGAGGATAGTAAAGCTCAGGTGTAGAATCCGGCAGATTAGAGATGGTGGAGTGGAGTTCTGGATTTAATGGTATCGTAATGAATATATTTAAAGTCAAACTATAGAGTAAAGAGAGGTTTTTTTAACCTCCTAGAACCTAGGACCTGACACAGTGGATATTACTAATGTCATTAATATCGTGAGGTAACTGACGACCGTAAAATCTAGAGGACGTCATATGTCAGTCCACGATGTGAACAACTGGCAGGAGAAAATGTATATATTGTAACATATGGTTTTTTTTTTGTGAAACAAAAAAAAATATTTTAAAAGATATACAAAATATATACAGTCAATATTACATGAAAACTACTCTGAAACTGTCGGTGTCAGCAACGGCAGAAAAAATGACCAAAAGTGACGTCTGTTGTGAAGAACTGATGTTAAATCTAAAGGAGACTGTTGTACTTTTGTACAGATGACAACAATTTTTTTTTTCCATTTTTAGATTCAGTGTTGTTTTCCGTTCTGTTGTTTTTTCGTTCCAAACAAAGACCTGGTGTTACATCAGGTCTCTTGAGCACTTTGTTAAAAGTACCTTTGTAGGGAGGGGCCAGATGTTGGGCCACCTGGACATACTGTAGAGACACACAGGCGTTAGTTATTCCGCCAGATTCCAAACAGAGCCACGCTGACAGATCAGGGCTCCCAGGGAATTAGGCTGCATTTAAATAGCACCTTTTGATATTAGATCAATAGCCTGGATTAACAGTCAAGTCACTCATGGACAGATGCTGCGGGGAGACAGCGCGCTCGGACTGTGATACATTATGTGCCAGAACTAAACAAAGAAGTTATTTCAATTCCGATGGTTTTGTTACTTTTTTCACAAAGGTCAAGCGCTGTCAAAAATATCAGCATACTGACCTTTTTAAACATTCCAGAAACATTGGGATCATAGATTATGCTTTCTATCCTTCCTTCTCCTTAACAAAGGGTTAAAACTTATTCACACTAAAGTCACAGGGGGGGGCTGCAACTCACCGCACTTGTCATTTGCAGGTCATTGTACAGTTCATTTGAAGTCTAACATGGCACGGACTGTCCTGGTGAGACGGGTTATCGTCAGGACAGAGACAGGACGTCCAACTACTTCACACCTGCACACGTCTCATTGACAAACTTTTTTTTTTACTAGCCGGTGTCACACTGTTAGCACTCACTATTGGAACTGGATTATAAAGATGGAAATATATAATTAGTTATTGAGTCATATTTTATCTTCAGGGAGTGGGAAATGGGAGGAGTGAGAGTGTTTGGGGTCACAGGTCTGTGGCCCGGGTCAACTGTAAATCAACCTGCACCTTAAACCTGTCACCTTTTGCACAGCAGTGAGTGAAGAACCTGATGGCTGAGGAAGAGCTTTTGTAAAATTGTTAATATTAATATTCATCAACGTAAAAGTTAATGAAGGTAATTTCAGCTCAGGAGCTGAGCAGAGAACAACAAGAACAAAAACTACAGAAGAAGATGATTTTTTTTTCATTTTTAATTTAATTTAAAAATAATTTTAAAAAACACTAATGTCATGGGAGTCATTGTAGTTTGTCTCGGGGACCAGAGGACGAGATTTGACCTCTACTGTCTTGGACAAAGTTGTGCAGCAAAGTCTGCAGTAAAAGAGAGAGATCCCAGAAGTGAGTTTTTGTTCTGACTTTCTCCGTGTAAAAGCAGGAAAATAAATGAGTTCCAGCTGCTGCTTCTCAACAATCCACCTCTGCTTATCTCGTAGTGACATATAAAAAATTAAATATTTATGCGCTTTTGTGTATCGATTGAAAAAAAAAATACCTGCCACTGTAATGGGCCGGCTGATATTTCTGAAATAAAACAATGACAAACTCGTTATCAAAGGGCATTTTTTAAACATTTATGACAGCTGAGTAGCTGTGGAGCAGGAGGCCTCACATGGGCAATAAAAAGCCTGCGGATGAAGACAATGCCCATTTGTAGTTGTTCAAAACGAAGTTTATGGATGATGAATAACGTCTCCTGAGCTGAATTAACCTGGAGGACCACGTATTCAAACGTCCAATTGATTATTTTAATGGGTGAAGAGGTTCAACTAACACATCTGCTTTGCCGTCAGTGGCTGCTAGCATTTTAATGTGCATTCTATCAGTGGGCGAAAGAGGAAGTTCCTTTGGATGTGAGGACTGAGAGCCTGGTCTGGAGACAGACAGTGAAAGAAATGGTTCTCATTCTGTCGTTCAAGAGACAAATTCAGTGGCACTGATGCCTCCTTTGTTCGGCTGACTCATGGTTGTGGAATGGAAATGTTGTGTGGTGTGGAAAGATTGAACAGAAGAGTCCACTGCAGGCGTCAGGAAGTGAACAAAGAGAGTCTTCACACACACAAGTGCACTCAGTTAAAAGTCCAGCACTTTAAACTGAGAACAGAGGAGCAGAGATGTGACGCTTGACATGGAGGGACTCTGGTGTGAGTGTGAGAAGACGCAGACACTTACACACACCCCACAGGGAAGGACTGCAGGACACACTTTGACTGTCCGACACTGAGGACAGTCGGTCCTCAAAGGTGTCACCTTCAAACCATGTGGCACAGACCCTGTGGTGTGACGCCTCTTCACAATGTCACCAAGACCTCGGTGTGGGCGCAACCACAGGCAAGGACAGAGTGTGTGTGTGTGGACTCCACCAGACGTAGCTCCTCGCTCCATCACTTCACACTTCAAGACCCCCCCCCTACTCCTCCCCCCACCCCCGACTCCCCATTTCTCTCTCTCAGCTCTTCAGGCTCTCACTGCTCAATTTGTGACTAGAGGATTTCTACCAGGGTCTCACCCAGACATACGCCGCGCGTCACTACTCCGACCGTGGCTACGCTGCCCACAGCCAGATGTAGTTTGAAGCACCAACCGGAGAAACACAGTGTGACATGTGTCATTGGTCAATCGCAGCAGGACAGGTCATGTTGACGCTGGTCTGCTGCATGTACGACTACAGTGATCTGCAGGGCTGTGTAACTGCGACCACTGGGAGAAAAGAAAACGCAGGCAGAGGGCAGCATTGCTGCAGATCAACACTCATTGCCTTTGTATCGTTGGTGACTTATGTGGTAGGAACAGTCATTTACAAAGAGGGCAGTCCAGTAAATGTATTTTAAAGAATACTCAACTTCTCCAAATTGCCACGCACGATCATCTGTACAGAACCTCCAGACCACTTTAAGGTCACAGGAAGGCTCTTTTCTGTTGTGGCCAAGGCTTGAAGAAAAATGGTCTTAATGCACTGAGGATGGATGCACTATAGCAGCAGGAGACCACAACAGTCACTGCAATATGTGACCAGTGGGTTTAAGTCACACAGTGGGCATTCATTCTCTCTCTCTCTCTTTCTCATTTTTAACCCATTTCATTTCAACCTCAGAAAAATGTGTTGTGCATGAAAATCACAGTCTGCCCCCAGCAACCATGGCCCATTCAAAGTCACTTAAAACACCCTTTCTCCTCATCCCGATGCTCGGCCTGGACTTCAGCAGGTCGTCCTCACCTTGTTTAACTCACGAATGCATTGATTTGCTGCCTAAATGCATTTGGATGCTGAATAGGTTTTTAAAGACTTTTTTAATTAAAAAACGTTTGCTAAATGGTTAAATTACAGTATACAAAGTGTATATGAATATATATATATATATACTGTATATATATGTGTGTGTGTTTGTGTGTAATAAAAAATGCTAATTTAAAGTTGTAAATGTGTTGTAAAGAAGACATCAAATATTATTTTTACCAAACATTTCCCTGTAAATCCAATAAAGTAATTGTTTCGTATAATTTTTTTTCCCCATCATTTTTTTCCCTTTAGCATATCGACGGGCGAGCTAATATTGTGGAATAGGAGGGAAGAAAAAAAATACCCTGGTGGAGTAATCTGGTGCTGAGTACAGCCATGATAATGATGATGGATTAGAAATACAGCAGTGTATTGGGATTACAGTGCTATTAACTGCCCAGGGGAGGAGGATGAGGAGGCAGACCGGTATCAAGCTAATCAATCAAATAATCGGGACAAGCCCTTGTCTACTAGAAACAATTAGACCACTTCTCCAAAATCAATAGCACTGCATTCTGTTTAGATATCCACCGGTCACTCATTCAATAAAGCCACCGTGGGTTTTGATAAGCCCGACAGTCGGCCGGGGCCATTTCAGTCTCCGAGTGGGAGCCAGATACATCAAACAGGCTCCAGGAAGGCCTCATAAAAATTGCAAATCGAAAACAATATAATTTAATGTGGCAAAGGTTATTTTTCCACTTGTTCATTATCAAATGCCTCATGTGAAAGCATGGCTGCAACAACGGGGGGAAAAAAAAAATCCATTTGATCATGAGTGTTTGGGGAAAACGTCAGGGACGTGTGTTATATCTAAGAGAAAACAAAATAACGACGGAATCAGAGGGGTTCATAAAGTTGC